ATTAGTATCTATACTCTTACATAGAAGTTTCAGTGTTTTTTCTCAGAAAAGAGATATTTTTCCGCGGTAAAAAGTATCCTATATGTTGATCCGGATAACCAGCTATCACCATACCAAATTTCATCAAAATCCCTCCAGTGGTTTTCCTGTGATGTGGTAACAGACAGACAGACAGACAGACAGACAGACAGACAAAAATTCTAAAAACGATAGATTCGGTCTCTGCATCGATAACAATGTTTATTTCAATAAGATTTTCCAAAAAATATTTAATGTACAGATTAGGCTTAGTTACAATTTTATTATATGTATAGATTTGATACAAATACGAAAAATGAAGATGATTTCTTACATAATTTTATTTTTACAATCGCGAAATTTTTAGTTTGGTTTAAACGTTCTAAAATGTTTAGTAAACGTCAGCTTATGCTGTAATTGTCTTATAGTTTAACGTTTAGCAAACTTCAAACAACTTTAAATCAAATTAAAAAATTTTGGTGTAAAGGGCCTTTAGAATAATTTTAACGAAAGAAATTATCGTATCTATATCTAAAAATTGTACTGGCTGTGTGTGGTCCCTTAATAGCTTTTCTAAATGCGAGTTCGATAATGAATATCTTGAAAACTATAATGCTCCTCACGTTCACTTTAACTTTGATATCGGCAGTATATTTTATTAGTTTTATGGTTAGCTCTATTCTTTCAGAATATCTAATTAGATCGTGCTTTTCTTACACACTCCTATTAGAATTTAAATTATAATCAAAAATATTTACTAATCTATACAGATAAATGAAATTGAAGTGTCTGTTTGTAATATCAAAATAACAGCTTATTACTAAATACATATGAAATTATCACGGTACTTATAAGAAAAACACGATTTTTTTACATTTTTGTCTTCTTGTTGTCTGTTTGTTCCGTCTCATCTCCAAAACGGCTTGACAGATTTTGACGGGACTTTCACTGGCAGATAGCTGATGTTATATGAAGTAACTTAGGCTATTTTTATTTTAGAAAAAGAAATAGGGTTCCGCTAAAAATGTTAAAACGTGCCTGGGCGAACCGAGGGTGAATCGCTAGTGTTCCATAAATATGAGGTGGTTGAAAGTTATTCGATAATAACACAATGTGGTTTTATTATTCATTTGATGCCTGGGATTAAATTTCATTGTTTTGATGTAAAGTAACTGTACTATCTATGTTTTGTAGAGCTCTGGCATGTAGAATCATTTTTTGTGCTGACTTGTAAAACAAGGAGGTGCTGAGTTTAATTTATATTTTTGAAGTGTGTGTTATCTGTTTTAGGTCACTAATTAACTAATTTTTTTGATATATTTATAAACGAAAAGGTCCTATGTAAAGAAAGAAGAAAAATTAAGGTAAAAATTTATGTAGAATCTAATGGATAAAATTCCAGTATTACCATTGTAAGAAAGATTAGTCTAACTCATTCCGGATTGTTGATGACAGCATTCTAATATAATTCCTTACAAAATCGTAATGACACTACAGTGCGTGTACATAATAATTTATTATAATATTGTCTAAGTCGGTCTAGACACTTGCTAACTGTACAATTCTTGTGTTCCGATCATTTACAAAAGAAAAAGTGATATGATCTTCTTATGACATTTTTGTTTTAGCAAATAATTAATTTGCATCCTCGTTATAAGCGATGAGTCAACTTGCATTCATTAGCGGGTAACGGAAGTTCTCTTAGTGAATTAAATTCTTCATTATTAGAATAAGGTGATTCATTTGTTGCAGCTTTGTTATCGCTCCTTTAGTAGTGTTTTATGTTAATTCCGAATTTTGATCATTTTTCTTGACTCTTTATTGGGATGTTAATTTAGTTTTTTTTTCATATCATCAACATCTCCAATTTCATATTACAAAATATAAATCACGCTCACGATCTAACCTTAATTATGCGTCTGAATAATTCACAAGGTATTACAGATCTTCGCTAAATGGACTATAGCGATTGACAAGGAAATCCATAATCTTGAGTTCTAGATCATCTAAAATTTGATGTCAACTGATCTGCATGTTGAGGAATGAAGATTGCATTTCGATTCGGCTTCCAGATAGTCCATTGCTATTGTCTCTAATCGGATTTGTGTGGCAATCAGTTAGCCCCGGCCTTGTCAGAATTGAGCATAATAATTGAAAGATCGGCGCACTTTGGATGTCACGCGGTCGGAGGATGGGTGAGGAATGCAAGTTCCATAAATGTTTTTTATTGCTGGAATAGATTTATTGCGAATGTTATATTGGTGTATGCAAGGGGTCAATTTTATGTTTATTATTGACTGATTGTTTGTTCACTATATGTAATAGTGTAACGTTGGGATTTTATAAGGTACTAGCAACTCACCCTTGCTCCGTTCGGGTACGTGCCTACAATTACGTTTTAATGTTTAGTATAGATTTCTCAAAAATGAGATATTTTTCCGCAGTAAAAAGTATCTTATATGTTGAGCCGGATAACCAGCTATCATCATACCAAATTTCATCAAAATCTGTCCAGTGGTTCTTCCGTGAAGATGTCACAGACAGACAGATAAAAGTTCTAAAAACTTTCAATTTTATTTTTTTAATTCGGCCTCTGTTTCGATAATAACATCCATTTTAATAAGATTTTCTAAAAAATACTTATGTACAGATACGGCTTATTTACAATTTTATTATATGTAAAGAATATAATGGTGAAACTTTTTATGAACTGTTAAACTCAATTTAAAAATTTAAATTCGTAGACTAGGAAATGTTTTGGAAGGTATTTTAAAGAGGTGTTCACTAAAATGAAAACAATCTTGATTTATTGATTTAGACACCATATGTTAAGATTCCAATCAATTTGAATAAAAATATTTTGTTCGGTTTCGCTAACCTACGCAAATAATGTTGGAAATATGTAGGTAAACAGGTTATATCGGATTTTCGATTGCGCGTACGAAATTGCTTGTAGTATTCTAGTAACTTACAAACAAACTGAAGTAAATGGGTACAACTACAATATTATCGTTTACTGCGAAATTTGTAAGGAATTTTTTTAAACATTTATCTGTGACTCTAATTATTTTTTATTATAATATTATATTTAATGTCTTTTTTAATCAATTGAAAAATCTAATCGGTTTAATATTAATATAAAAGCCTTTAGTGATTTTTTGATAATTTTGGAAAGTTTATATAACGACCTACTAAATTATCAAAAAGGAAAAGTACAGTGTTATCTTATTAAATTAAAGTTATACAAAATTTATTTATTTGCATAAATTTATGTGATTTGTTATATATTTAGGAATACCCAAAGGTAATTAATCTGAATCACGATCTTTTCCACTTTACAGTAATTAAACCATTAGCTTTGATACATGATATTATGTCTAATGACTTTTTTAACGCACTGCACCAAACCGATACTTTTATCAGTAAGGGCTAAATCTAACATAATTCAAAACTTCTTTAGCTTATGTCTAATCATACAATTTAGTACTATGGGCTATTTTATTTATAGTTCAATAGAAACACACTAAATTGTCAGTGAATTAACGCGCTATGAACGATTTGTAGCCAATCAGTCTACAATGTGTGCCAAAGGTGAAGTTTGACAAGAATTATTATAAATTCTTTCCTTTCGCCTATAGATTGACGAGACGCGTTAATTAATACAATTTTTGTAAATTAATTGTTTATTTACTATTTAATATTATTTTTATATATAATTGAGAATAAACATTTAGCATGTAGTCGGCAATCTCACATCACACACCAGATATCAGTATATCGTTTAGGTATTGTTGGGAAGCCAATGACTAGCGAATACCTTTATGATTACTAGCGACTCACCCTCGCTTCGCTCGGGTTCGTCCCTAGGTTGATTTCCCATACCAACTTTCATCCCCATTTTCACCCCCTTTAGGGATGATTTCCAGGATAGAAAGTATCCTATGTCCTTTCCAGGGTCTCAAACTATCTTCTTACAAAATTTCATCTAATTTGGTTCAATAGATCCAGAGATTACTCCCTACAACGTCACAAACTCACAATTCACAAACCCACAAACTTTACCTTTTTTAATATTAAGTATAGATAGATGATGAGTTTTCGTAGAATAGTTTTTGTTAAATAAAGTTATAATTGACTACCTTATTTGTAAGAAATTGATTATGAATTAAACTGTTAAAGGTATAAATTAACATATGTGTTCACATTTAGTCAGAATACACAAAATATTTAAAATATATTGCTTGGTTGTTTTAATGTACTAATTTCCACTAAAACGATTCAGAACAAAAAAAAATTCACACACATATTAGGAACAGCCGTATTAAGAAATAAGAGTTATAACCCAACATGCATTTACCTACAGGACAACTTGTTTGTTAAACTTCACAAATTAATATTTTAAGTAGACAACTTAATCTTTTACGTAAGCATTGCCTAATCTACCATTAATTCATGACGATTATGTGATTCGCGATAATGAAATTATTAAGACGTAATACACGTATGGTATACGTTTGACGTACATAATACATATACATATGTATATGTATGTATATAAGCAATTGTTTGATAGGTAGCAATTATTATTTTCTGAGTATCTTTCGCCAGTTCTTCTCAGGTTATGATAATTTAATGCTGAACCAAATATTTTGAATTTGAATTTTTTTGAATTTGAAAAAAAAATGTTATCGCTGTTTTAGACATTCTAGGTTTAATCCAATTTTAAACTAGGATAAAAATAACTTAACATTTTAATTACTTATAAAAGTATATTATTCTCAAATCTCCAATTTGCCAAATTTTCTCGAAATAAATGACTACATTCTAAAGTGGGAGTAAAAATGAGATCAAACTAACTAGTTTCACGTACCGATTTGGTTTTTGTTATATTAAATCAAGCATTTTAATTAAATTATATAAATTAATCTTTTATATTAATAGTACTAGATAATTTTTTAACACTATACGTATTTCGTTTACAGAGGTGACGCAGCTCGAAGATCCAAGGCTAGAATGGCTGAGCATTCAAGAAGCGATGCTGCGGGACTACCTGCACACGGCGCAGGAGGCTCTCGAGGTGAGTTTCCATATATTTAGCAGTAGTAGTAGTTTTAGCTTGAAATTAATATTACTTCTCAACTTAAACTCTACTTAAAATATTGATTAAAAAAGTCCAAGCTGACAAGTCCAAGTCTAAATGGACTTTAGAATTGTTAGCTTTTACATTTATAGTTACTTAAGTCTGTATAGCCATTCCATGAGGAAGCTACTGCCGGCTCGGAATGCAGTTTTGCTGAGAGTCCGGCTAGAAACTCAATAGCTGAGTTGTCAGTTTAGTGTTTTTCTTTCCTAAGATAGAAGAATTTAGTATATATGTATGTATATAATAACTCAGTATCTAGTTTGAGTATGGTATTAAAATGTACGTATTCTGATATGTAACACTTCTAAAGAGGTAAAAATTTATATTTATATCGATAAAATTGAGCTTTTTAAAAATTCTTTTCCCTAATCTTTGAATATTATCAATGTACAATACGGCCGGAACTGCGGTCCAAAACTAGTAACTAATAAAATACTCTTAGTCTTGATATATGACAGTATCGACTTATAGCTATTTGTACATTAGTATAAAAAAAAACACTTTGTCACCTTTTTTATGATAAAAAAAGATGTAACAGGTTTTTTCCAAGGCATATACGTGTTCTTCATTCTTCCATTCCTATTCCATAATTTATTACACTAGCACCCGTTATGGCTTAATGATAAACAAAATATATAGCTCGAGCGAATCTTGACCAAGATTCAATTAACAAAACGAGTAATTTTTCTACCTATCTGTTGTTCTAATGTATTATAATTGCGCCCTTATCTGTCTATATCTATATAATTAAATATTATTATAAAGATATAGATATATGTAAAATAAAATTCTAACTGATTCGAATCTGTACCTTAAATATTTTTTAAGAAAACCTTATTGAAAAAGTCATTATTATTGAGACAGAGGCGGACTCAACAATTTTTTAAATTTTTGTCTTTCTGGGAACACATCACGAGAAAACCACTGGATAGATTTTGGTGAAATTTTTTATGATGATAGCTGGTTAACCGGGTCAACATATAGGACTTTTTACTGCGGGAAAATATCTCATCTCTTAGAAATTTATACTAAAACGTTAAAACGTAACTAGTCACGAAGCCAAAAGGAGCGGGGGCGAGTCGCTATTGTCTAAATACATTTTAAGAGGTAGTGGCAAATTTAAAGCAGTAAAATACACACGCTTGTTTCTTTTTACTTGCATCCCTCAGTCTATTCATGCAATACTAAACCTTAACCCAATAACCATATGGCGAATCTATCTTATCTAAATCATGGGCGGAAACCTGTTCCACCGCTCAATGAATCTTGGAAAGCAATTGACTTTTAGCAACGCTGACATCATTTCACCCGTTTTGGATGTCATACGATATTCTAAATTCCAACGGTCGCAATTAAAAATGGATGGTATCAAATTAATAATTTATCTTTAATGCGTATTCAAATCCACATTAGGCGATCTTGAGTCTCTTGCGGAGATAACAAAGGAATGCGATGGCTCTGATAACAGATAAGATAGTAAATGGTTATATTGTTTTCTATTGAGCGCGCAAGATATGAAAATTATATATAAGTACTGCTTGAAATAAGGTCGAGAAGATAAAATTTGTTCATGATGTTGTTTGATTTTGGACCTCTCATGTCTCTATTAAATTTGATACATTATTAAAAATTGTCGTTAGTGTCAAGGTTTAATTTAATTTCTAGTTTACACAATTTCTATTAATAAAAATTTTACGCATCTACTGCTTTATATTGATATCCGTGATATTTTTAAATCATTTACCCGGTTTCTTTGAATTGAAATGCTCAAGAGATTTGCTAAATACATCACGTCCGACGCTCGCTCCGAGAATACCGTTATCAAATAACATATCTGCATTAGTTTAGTAACATACGTGAGAAGTTTAATAGCTATCTTTCTTATTTTGATCGAAAATGCGAAAGGACAGTTATTTCTTCTTAATCGATTTACCTAGGGAATAAATTAAGTTTCATAATGTTTCTTTGTAATCTTGCAATTTATAAGCACTGTCTCGTACATGTTTATCTATACTAATATTATAAAGAGGTAAAGTTTGTGAGTTTGTGACGTTGTAGGGGGTAATCTCTTGATCTACTAAATCGATTTAGATGAAATTTGGTAAGAAGATAGTTTGAGACTCTGAAAAGGACATAGGACTTTTTATCCCGGAAATCATCCCTTAAGGGGGTGAAAATGGGGATGAAAGTTTGTATGGGGAATCAACCTAGGGACGAACCCAAGCGAAGCGAGGGTGAGTCGCTGGTTCTTTTATATTTTGACGGCACGTTTGGCTTAGTTTGTAGTGACCCTTCTTGCTGTGCTAGCGATTGCGGGTTTGAGTCCCGCTGGGGGCAATCATTGGTGTGATGAGTACGAATGCTTACTCCAGTCCCATAACACAAGTTTAACATGGAACTAGACGGTGCTGTGTGTTAATGTCCCAACATATTTATTTATTTATTCCTAGTGGTATGAGTATACGCAAGTCAAATTTGAAACGCCTTTAATATAAACCTCTGTTTTAACCTCGATCATTGATAACCTGTAACTTACGTCAATTGATCGACAGTGATGCAAGTAAACAAAAAGATTCAAGTCAAATGTGTACTTGACCTACGACCCTGATACGTATTGTAGATACAGATAAGTGAAATATGCGACCCTTTGATCTCGATACTATGAGGGGTTTAGCTGAACTGATATGATTTATTATTGTGTTTAGCTGTCAGATTTGAGAAAGATTGGCATTTGTGACCGCCACCCAACACGCATGCGAATTGCTATTTCTCAACTCTGAAGGCTAAGATGAGGTAACTATATGCGAACGCTTAAATTAATAAAAAAAAAACACATAAAATGATGATAATTTCCATTCAGATTGTGCATTTTGTGAGTTTTTATAACTTTTGTATAAATATACCACACTATGTATCGTATTATTGAACGCAAACATTATAATATCCTCGCGTTTCACCTTCCTAAAAGCACTCTTTAAACTTTAAATCAATAATAAAGTCTTTAAATTCGTGTATTCTGGACACCACTATCTAACCACAGTTGAAGTTTTATGCTAATATTTACTTACGTCGTTTCATTGTAAACTGTTTCGACATAGACCATTCACAAAAATTTAATACTTAAATTCATGCTACTAAAGGCCTATATTACATTGTAATACAATGTAAAATGTTACCCAAATTTCGCGTACCAGATATGATAGGAATTTGATGGATTTCGACCGGAAAAGCTTTGCATACCAACATTATTATATTCTACTTTGTTGGTTTACGGTTAAGTTCAGTACTGATTCACACACTTTTGTAAAACAATGTTATTTATTGTTAAGCAGAGTCATCGTGGGATGGAATTGTAATTATTTTCGTTATATATTAGTTTTAATTGAATTCAACATCTACCCTATACATATAATAAAATTGTAACTAAGCCGAACCTCTACATTAAATATTTTTTGGAAAATCTTATTGAAATAGACATTATCATCGATACAGAAGTCGAATCTATAGTTTTTAGAATTTTTGTCTGTCTGTCAGTTTTTGACTGCATCACGGAAAAACCACTAGAGGGATTTTGGTGAGATTTGGTATGATTAAAGCTAGTTATCCGAGTCAACACATATGATACTTTTTATTGCGAGAAAATATCTCATCTCTGAGAAATCTATAGTAAACGTAAAGACATGAGTAGGGACGAACCCAATCGGAGCGAAGGTGAGTCGCTAGTCATGTTATATAATGGCCACTGTTCACTTCGAAATTGATGCTGACAAATTCTGTTAGCTTACATCCCTTTATAATAGTGCGTATTAGACTGGATTTACAACATTTCAATTTACTACGCACTCCACTATTATTATCAGAAATATGTAGTTTAGGATTTATATTTATGGATAAATTATTATAGTTGAGCCATTTTTATAACAAAATTATATATTTTAATGATAGTCAAAATGGAGGTTCTAGTGTTTTTTTGAATAATTTTTTTCTCTTTACTATGTACTTAATATGTAAGTTTATTAAAGTGGCCTTATGAGTAATACTCGATCAAAATTCATACGTCATAGTTAAAATTTCGTTGATTTATAAGACCATCTCTTATGCAATAGTTATATTATATACGGATATTATAAAATATAAACATTGGTCACAGTGCAGTCGACCTTCGAGGCTTCGATACGCTTAAAAGTTGTCTCCTGCAACCTGCTCACAAATAATCTTGTGACGACAATTTGCACTGTTAATAAAACAAGTGAACTCACTTAATGTATCAAAACTGCAATGACACATGGTAGCGAAGCTTTTATTTTATATTTATACTAGCGACTCACCCTCGCTCCGCTCGGGTTCGTCTAGTTACGTTTTAACGTTTTCATCAATCATCAAATTTCATTAAAATCTGTCGAGTGGTTTTCTCGTGATGCGTTCCCAGACGGACAGACAGACAGACAGAAATTCTAAAAACTATAGATTCGGCCTCTATATCGACAATAATGACTATTTCAATGAGATGATGACTATTCCAAAAAATATTTAATATACAGATTCGACTCAATTATAATTTTATAATAATAATAATGTATAGACTAGCCAAAAATTGTTAATGTATGTAAATACACATTCTTAGTCTTAACATTTAAAAAAATTAGAGTTCCATTACAGCCAACGAAATATTAAAAATTCATAGAGATTTTTCATTAACAACTTAAGGAAAAGAAATAAATATAAATATATCGGAACGCTAAGACACATCACCATCTTGTGTTTTAGATACCAGATAGTTGATAAACTACTATTAAATAACTTTAAATACATGCATATTATAAATATAAACACCCCTGATTGGAGTACAAACATTCGTGCTCATCACACGAACGTGTCCCCAGCGGGACTCAAACTCGCGACCGTTTGCACATCAAGTAGGGTCACTACAAATTGAACAAAACGTCAATACACAATCATCGAAATACAGTAAGAAATATCTTCAAACATAGCTTTAATACATAAGCTTATGTTCTTATACTCCATAGATATAGAAGTAATTATAGCATTCCAAGTTTGTAAAATTTCACTCAACTATAATTAAGTTCTTTCAGTATAGGCGTATTCCTTCCTTATCTGTCTTCTATGGCTGCAAACTGAATTCCTTCGACCATTTTAACTAGTTTGTAAACTTCTGGTCGGATATTGCGTT